AGGCTGGCCTCCTGGCCACCCACACATGCTCGGCAGCTAATCCCTGTGGCCAAGGAAAGCCAGGTGTCCTGCTTTCCCAGGCCTCACTTGGTGGATTTATAATGCACACTTCTGATCGACACTGCTAAAATGACTTTATTTTTAAGGAATTGTATTTTATTTTTTATTTTACTTTATCGCAATATTGGAGATTGAACACAGGACCTTGTATGTACTGGGCAAGCACTCCTCAACTGAGCTATGTCCCCAGTTATTTTATTTTGTGGGACAAGGTCTTGCTAAATTGCCTGGGCTGGACTTGAAGTTGTGATCCTCCTGGCTCAGGCCTCCCAAGTACTGTGGCAGGGACTGGAGGCATGCACCACTGTGCTTAGCTTAGAATTTTATTTTATTTGTTGTTGTTGTTATTATTATTATTATTATTATTTATTTTTTATTTTATTTTTTTGGTACCAGGGATCAAATTCAGGACCTTGTGCTTGTGAGGCAGGCACAGTGCCACTGAGCTAAATCCCCAGCCCTAAGAATTTCATTTTTTAAAAAAATGTAGGCTGGGGTTTAGCTCATTATTAGAGGGCTTGCCTTGAATATGTCACCAGGGTCTAAGTGACCCTTCTTTCCCATCCTACTCTGTCACTCCATTCTGACCTCTGAGGCCCTGTCCCACACCTCCTGCACTGCAAAATAAATACATAAATGTAAAAATAAAATTGTAATTAAAATATACACACAGGAAAATGCAGTTAACAGTATATCATAAAGGCAGGTGGATTGTCTGGCCTTAGACAATGACATCCTGCCTCAAAAAACAAAATAAAACAAAAAATGAAAACAAAACAGAACAGAACAGAATAACATGAAACTGAACACATTCAAGGTTAATTAAAACTCAGATCAATAGGGCCCAGGATTTAGCTCAATAGCTCTGCACTCGCCTTGCAAGCACAAGGTCCTGAGTTCGATCCCTGGTACCAGAAAAAAACAAAAAAACAAATTCAGGCCAAGAAACAGCATTTGGCAGCCCCAAGACCCCCTCTCATCTTTTTGATCACTACCCTGTAATTAAAGGTTACTGGCTCCAACAGCCATTCTAGCCTCTAAGGAGACAGGTTAGTTTTGCCTGTGTTTGTTTAGGAGGCGCCAGGGAGCTAACCCATGCTTGGCAAACATTCTACCACTGAGCTTTCCCCTCAGCTCTGTTTTGCCTGCTCCACAGAAAGAGAAATATACAAAAGGATTCAGAGCAGCATTTTGTTTGTGTTGTTTTGCTTTAGAGATTGAACCCAGGGCCTTCACACTGAGCTATCTCCCTAGACCTTTTATATTTTTTTTGAGACAAGTTCTTGCTAAGTAGCTAAATTACCTAGACTGGGGTCCAACTTGTGTTCTTCCTGTTTCAGCTTCCCAGAGTGCTGGGATTACCAGCCTGTGCCACCATGCGCAACTTAGCCATACTTCAAAAAGCCAAAAACTGGAAATAACTCAAATGTCCCCCGGCAGCAGAATAGATCAATAAAATGCAGCATATGCATGCTCTGGAATGTTCGACAGCCCCAACCTAATGCTGAACAAGATAAACCTGACACAAAAGTGCACATTGGATGGTCCAATTTCTTTTCTTTTCTCTTTCTTTCTTTCTTTCTTTCTTTCTTTCTTTC